CTGTAAATTACGGAAAAGGGAGTGTTAAGCAGTTCCTCATGTGTCCCAGATGGGCTGCAGAGAGAGGAACTGTCACGACCAGGGCACCAGGGTGGATGGAGGCGGGGGAGAGGATCGATATGTACCACGAATGTGCCTCACAGAGCCTGATACCCCATCAGTCCTTCCTCTTCTGCTAAGGACTATCCTGAACAGCATGGGAGTCTTCCTTGGACACTCTGGGTCACCATACCTGTTGCTTAACCAGCCATGTAACACCAGAATAATTCTTACTGAAAAATGAGTGAGAAAGACACATGCAAGATGCACAATTTGGGTCTGGTCCAGACTGGTTGGGTTTCTGCAGGGACTGGACTTCAGCCGTCCAGGTGCAAACCAGGAGTTTCCACCGCTATCTGTCACAGCTTACCCTTTAACCTCTCCTACCAGATAATGTGAACAGAGCCTACAGGCAGGAATTTCTACACAAAACCAGGGGGAAGAGAAGCTGGAAATGGGGAACGACTTTGGTTAATGACTTAGTAACACTTGAACGATGTTGGTTAATGACCAGGTCTACTTCTACTGTACACAGCTTTTATATTTCCCACAGGTCATTGGTGTCCTGAGCACCATGTGCTGTCAGTCTGAGGCCATTCATGGCACTTGGTACTTGTTAGCAGTTTTGGAAGCTTACAGCAACTCTGGTGCGTAATTTGCGTTATGGTCAGTTCCTGTAATCTGGAAAATCTCATAATACTATAATAAATTTCTTACAGCACATCTCTTGCCATCATGCAAATATTGGGGATCTCAGCTCTCATTTTAGGAAGAAAGAGTTTCTCAAGCTCATGTCTACAAATTTCTTAAGTGAACCATAAAGGCTTGAGACCACAAGGCAGATAAATCAAGCCACAGCTACAGTCTTAGACTGAGGTATCCAAGGAGTTAGGAGATGAAACCATGCAGCTTTTGACACAAGGTTAGCCTGTTCCTTAGTGCAGTGGGCTGTGGAGCATCTGATCTCTGTACTCCACAGCTTTAAGGTAACGTGTGTTCTCCAAGGAAAAGACAGGACCCTGGGGATGGCAGACAATCTCTACTGTTTGTCTTCATTTTGCCTTTGAAGAAGTGTAATCCCCAAAATACACACTGGACCTGCTGGTCCAGGGTACTGGACAAACTTCCTTATAAAAGCCCTGGCCATTGTATAAAAGAAACACAGCAACAACTTTGCATTCCTTTGCAAATACAACCCCAGGCCATGCTCTGGCCAGATAAGCTGTGTCCCAGTGTCCTGAGCTCCTGGTATGAAACTACGGGGGGCAGGAATGCTTCCCAAAAAGTGGAAGGAAAAGCATTCACAGCTCCAGATGTGCTGGGAAGAAGGAGCCAAGGGAGTTTAGTATCTGATAAGAACTGCTTTGCATGTTTTATGGCTGCACAGAGACACAGCCCCTTCTCCCCAGGTTCTCCTGCCTTGCTCCCCCCGAGTCCACCCACAGAGCTCAGCGCTGTGTCCACCAAATGACAGTTCAAATCCTCACCTTCCCTCACCCTACAAAGTCACCAGCTTGTTGGGCAAAATTCCTGCATGTCCACCTCCCTGTCTCAGATCACCAACAGGTTTTCCAGCTGCCGCCAGGCTTTCTGGATGGCTCAACATTTTCAGAAAGAACTGAAACTTCAGAGGAGAGAGAAGGAACAGCAGGAACTGGCTAATTTTTCACTATCTGGGGAGAGAAGACACTGGTCTGAGTCCTCTTCGCTATGCAGAGGGGGAGATCAAAGCTGTTGTTGACATAGTCAGTATTGCGAGTGAGGAAGGCAGCATCCAGCCATCCATCCAGGGCTACCAGCGTCTGTATCTCACATGCCTGGTAGCTGAAGTGTCTGCAAGATCTAAGGGAGGATCTGGTATTTACGTGTCTGTGTGTGTCTGTATGGCAGTAGGGTTTGTGTATATTATAAAGAGAAACTGCAGATGGAAACAACCCAGTTTGGTGTCTAAGGCCCATTTCAAAGCCCATTAAAATCAGCAGGAGTCATTCCACTTACTGTGGAGGGTTTTGGCCACATCTCTCCTTGCCTGTCCCAAACATGCCTATGACTTCAGGCCTGCTCCCTGCTGCATATCCTCAATTAAATCCCGCAAACAATGGGGCTTCCCATGTTCACCACAGTGAATATTTTACATGGAATTGCTAGAGATCCCCCCTCCTCTGGTGTTCTCACCCTGCAGATACTTAGAGGCAAGTGTTGCTCATTCATCACTCCTTGCTCAGGATACCAAGATCCCATTGTTTGATTTGGTTTTGCAAATTGGTGCCATCAGGGTTTTTTTGTGTCTTTTGTGTTGCTTTTATCTGAACACACTCCAGCAGTATCTCCCTCCCCAGGAGCCAGATTTGAGATCAGAAGGGGTCGTCATCTCATAACCTTCCTCCATACCCCAGTCTATCATATATCTACCAGCTCTGCCTGAACTTCCTGTAACCTGTCTGCAACTAAAGCATCCATTTCTGAAAGGCCTTCATGCTGGATTTGAAGACCTCAAAAGCTGATGACCTCTTTGTTCTAATGGCTGCAGTCTGTGCACAGTGATGATGTGACTTTCCTTCTTTGGATTTGCCAGGTTTCTGCTGCACTCTGGTGTATAAAAGAGCCCTTTAAGATCTTATTGTTTCCATATAGGTGTGTTTATAGCCTGTAAACAAGCCACTTCTCTATCTTCTTTTCAGTAAGATCACAGGTTTATGCTCCTGAAGAATTTCACTTTAAGGCACTTTATTTCATGCTTTCCGTTTTTAACAGCCTTTAAAAATGTGAATGCTGGAACAGGATCAAACATTACTGTATCAGTCATAAAGAAGTAGGACTGTTTACACTTGACACTTCCTCATTTATATAGATTGGAACAGCTTTGTTTGCCACAACATTGAGTTAGAAGTCAAAATTGAACTGTTGCTTCTCTGCACTACAAACCCTTATCAGAAACATTGCTCTCTGCTCTCCTCCTCCTTGTCCTTCCCTGAATACCGCCCCAGCACCATAGGTTTCTGGACGTGTCTCACTCAAGTCTTGACCAGGTTGAACAAACCCGTTCAGCTTTTCCATCCCGATAACATCACAGGTCAAAGTGGAACAAACAGAAAGTGAAGGGTTGAGCTATCGAAGCGGATCGAGACCTGCCATGGGGGTGCCATGGACAGTAATGTAATGTTCTGCATGAATGTGCAGGAGATGTGTTCAGGGATAATGTACTTGCACAGATAGAGAACTTTTTTAATTCCAGGGTGTTATCAGATCTGGAAAAATGCTGAACGAGTGGGTTGCTGCAGTATCAGTCTATTGCTACACCATGAAGGGGGAGCTGTATTCCCTCTCTAACATCCACGCTGTAATTGCACAGCCTCTGCAAATAATTAACTGAGCTTAGCCAGACTCCCTTCCCTGCATTGTATCTATATTATCAGTTCACTCCCCACTCCAATAATTAATTTTCACTCTCAGACCCACACCCCTTTATTGTAATAGATAAAGTAAAATTCTCTCCCAAATAATTTGGTGGGCATATTAGGAAGACAGCAGTTTCAGCCTGTTTGGGTAGAAAAGAAAGTCTGAGGGAAATGGAAATTATAAGAACATTCAGTTACCATACTGCAAGTTAAAATCTGGTCCTATATGTATTCATGTGTACATATGTACTTTTAGTCATCTCACTACTGCCACACATTATGGTCTGGTTTCAGCAGCCAAGGTTTTCCATAGTACTTTCTGCCGCAGCGTTGAACTAGGAGATAAAATTGTATTGCTTGATCACTGTAATTCCATGTCCAAAATACTGCACACTTGCACTGTGATCCAGGGCTGTTGAGGATAGGTACAATCATACACTTTGCTTAATAATCCTGTAGTCTGCTCCAAAAAACAGCAACTCGTCTGGGAAGAGAAGCATAGTGAAACACTGAAGTTTGCCAACACCTCTCCTACACTCTACACCCCAGCATCTCCCAAAGCTCCCGCTGCTTTATCCTTTTGCCAACAGCCCATACTACCTCCCAGGTACGGCAATGCTGCCTGATGTGCTGGTTTTCTTCAGTGCTTTTGTGTGGGACCAACCTGAAAAGACCCATTCGGACAGGCAGTGGCTGGAGCAGAATAGCCAGGTAGTGGTGAATGTAGAAGAGGGGAGGCTACACCAGCTATGGGTGTAGTTTGATCAACAGAAGGCAAACAGGCTTTGGGCTAAAGCTTCCCGTTACTTGGACTCCCAGCAGTCTGTCACTGTAGAAAACTGCCTATTTCGTGAAATTAAGGTAAACGTTTATTATTATTAATGTAAGCATTTATTCCAGATACTCATGAAACCTCGGATACAATGGGAGAGTGTCTGGTAAGGCAAGAAGAACAACCACAATGAGAAAGGCTCTTTGCCAGGAGCAGTTTGCTTGTAACAAAAGGTCACTGCCTCTTCTCTGAAATGGAGGCTACTTCAGGGCTGCCCAGAGGCCACAGGCAGCCCTGTGAGCTAAGGGGCTCCTTCTACCACAGACTAATAAGATACAAGGGAGGGAAAAAGGGGCTAGCTACCTCTCTAATGAGAGTGAATCTCTCAGGAACTCACTTCCAGTCCTTTTCAGAGCCTGGAGAAGTGACTTTGAAATCTATCACTTATCCTGAGATAGTGGATGTCGACACTAAGGCTGTCTTGAGAGCTCCTGTTGCCTCTGCAGTGTATGGGCACCTCGTGCAGTCTTGCCCAGTCCCAGTGTGGACAAAGCATCCAGAGAAGGTAACATGAAACTAACCGCACTTGAACATATGAAGCTTTAAATCAGATCAAGTCAATGAGGAAACAAAAGAAGTGTAATTACTGTCTTTTTATTCTGTGAAATTATGAAAGAAGAAGAGCTACGCCAAAACCGAACTCCCCACACAGAAGCCACAGCAAACAGGACTCGGTGCAAACCACTACTGGAGTTTGTTGTGGGCTTTGCTTAACCCAGAACTCGTGAGAGTCAGAAAATTACCTTCTCCAAGATGAATCCTGACAGGACAGGGACGAAGAGAGTATCTGGAGGGGCAAAGCCAGAAGTCACTCTGGCCAGAACAGAAGCTTGTTTACATTGGAAACGCCTTAACTTTATGTTCATCATCCCCAGATTGTTTTTTCCATCTCCTACAATATTGCATTCAGAAATGGTGGTGCAACCCTTCATGGCAGCTTTCAGAGACAGTCCACCTACAGAAGACAAGAAGTACATGCCATTTGTCTGCAGAACCAGTCTCCATAGTTGTTCCTTCCCTGGCCAATGAGGTCCCATTTCCACTCCAAGAACAGCCCATTCTTTACGTCCAGCTGCGTCCAAACCCACCAGACCATTCCTGTCTGTTCCCATCCCCTGAACAAATTTCAAGAAGCAGCAAGGTCACCTTGGTTGACTTGAAATACAAATGGTTTAGGGTTTATCTTTACTTTCTTTCTTTCTGCTGAATAAAGATTACTTTTTTTTTTAATCTAAACATTTTAAAATTAAAAATTGAAAAGCTTTTAAGTAGTTTGCTTTCTTGCATTTAAAGATTCTTCTGTTCAAACCTTGCCTAGATTCCTAAAGAAACCAGGCCTGTGTGACAATACTCCAGGTGCTCATTGTCTCCTTCTCTCTCTGATCCTCCCAAGACATTTGAACTGGATGACTATGTCTCAGCCAAATTTGGCATGACAGTGAGAAATCTCAAAGATATTACAGACCGAGTCATTTATTCAGATAAGTCCATTCTCTACGACCTTACAAAATCTAGCTAAACCAACAGTGAAACTCTGCTCACATGCCCGCTGATGGAGAGCCTGAAACCTGAATTTATCTTTTACCAACGCTGGAACATCTGCCTGAGAAGGAGACCTGAGAAGGTGCTGGGTGCCTACCTCCCCATTCAGATATTCTTGCTCCCATTGCTTGCTTTTTGCTCAAACTGCTCATGTTTCTCTGCTGCACAGGCTATGGAGGCCTCAAATATTCTGGTGGATGTTTTTATCTCAAATACAAATAACGTATAAAGAGCACTTCATTAGCTCCTCACCTTCCTTTGCTCCCCTACACCATTGCTTCCTCTGCAGAGCTAATCACAATGCACAAGTCTCTTCTATTTACAGTGGCCAATCAATCAAGTCAAGACAAGTTAGGAGCATTTTTTATTTCAGTGGTACACTGAATTAGTTGCATCACTCTATTTCCATTGCTGTGACTAAGAAAACACTTGTTTTCCTTCATGTTGTCTCTGTGAAACACCATCTAATTCAAGGTTGGGATAACACATCTATAAAGTGTATGGCAAAGACCTTCAGGCATCATATCGTCACCTAGCAATGATACCAACTCAGAGAAACTTCGTCCATACCCATATACAAGATATTTTTTTTCCAGTCTGTTTCTACAGTAGGTGCTGCTGCCCTTCATTTCCACATTATTTTTCCTGCCTGCTGGAGTATGGATTGGAATGCCATGAAACATGGAAGCCTTTTACTTGTGGCAAGGGAGGAAAAGGGATTGACCGGGGGGCTTGCTGTCTACTTTCCTCTCTCTCATTACAGCTCTTGAGGTGGGAAAAAGATTTCTGAAAGAGAGTGATACATGCTGCGGACGACCTTGGCCATTCAAAGCCTGGAGTTCCTTCATAGGGAAGATCTTTGGATACCCCAAAGGCTCAGCTGCAGCATTCATGGGGAGGTACCTATCCCCAGCTCTCCAGGAGCAGGGGTACCACTAAAACAAATGGTATCTTGTCCCCAGTGGCCAGCATCACCTCATGAGAAAGCCAATGGTTCTGTATTAGTTTCATCTGAACTTCCACTAAGTAGGCAACTGGCTTAGATCCAGTTTCATCCTCACACATCCTAGCTAGGGTCAGCAGGTTCAGGGCCTTGGTCATATTTATTACCTGCCCATATATCAGATTGCTTCAGGACTCTAGTTCTGCTCTTGGCCTCAGTTATGCCATGCGATGAGGAATCCCAACAGTTATCTGTGCATGCTGGGGAAGGAGGAAGAAAAAAAACACTCCTGCTCTTTTATCAGCTTTAAGCCTGTTCCATTTAGTTCTGCGTCTCTTCCTCTTTTTTTCATTCACACCTTTTACCCATCTTTATTTCTCTATAATTCTTCATCTTAGACTGGTTTCACCCATTTAATCAAAAAAATGAACGACAGCCCTAAATAAAAGACAGTTACCAGAATGCATTAACCCAGCAAGGTCAACACACTGGGTTTCTGCTCCAGTGCAGTTTACAATTTCGTTAGCGCACTGAAAGGAGTCCACGCTGTAGCAGGCAGGACACTGATATCCATTGGGCACGTTGTCCTCTGGTGGCACTGGAAGGAAAGAGATGGGCTGTAATGGTTTTAGTGAGAGGACAAGAGGAATGAGCCAGTTGATGGCTTAGCCTGGAAGCCTCACCTTGGGACAGGGCAGAGAGAGAGAGGACGGAGTATAACGAAGAAGAAAGCTTACGTGAGACAGAGATTGTTTGACAGTCATCGCCTGTGCAGCAAGCCAAGTGGCTCCTTGCTTTTACCTTCCCGTAGTTCATGGTGACAGGGCCAAGAAGGCAAATGTTGGACGGCAGGCAGGACTTGATGGTCGAAGGGATTGCTATTCCCCCTGTAATGAAATGGAAGGCAGCACCAAGTCATTAACTACAAGGTAGCTCCCTTCCCCTCCCAGTAGCTCCTACAGTAGCAACTGCTAAGCAGCCATTCTGGGGCCTGAGAGGCGTCTGGGGATGGCAGAGCCTCCCAAAAAGCAGCACCGGTGATCCCCTCAGAGGAACAAGTGTGCCATCACATCTGAGACACTAGTGAGGAATTTCTCCTTCATGTTGTGCTTAAAGGCAGGAGAGCACGTCTCCTCACAGCCAGCTGGCCTTGTTGCAGATGTCCACCTTAGCCAGGATGCCCCGGCCACAGAAGTTCTGGGGTGACCCACATGCCTTTGACCCATAGCCCGCACTTCTTCATGCACAGTTCACAAATGTCATGGTCTATCATAGCCACAAGCATCCTGACACAGGCAAGTCTAGTCTTCCCCATCAGCCAAATCCAAAATGTGTAATGGGGAGCAGAACAGTTACATTAAGTCTACTGAGGACCCTCCAACCCTTCAAGGATGAAGAGTGGCTTTCCACAAGCAGAAGGAAGATAGGCACTGGAGCTGCCAGCACCAAAGCTGGTAGGATATAAGCCAACCTCCAGTTTAAAAGCCAACGGTCACATCACTGAAGCTGGGTGATAACCAAGTCTGTGCCACTAACAACCAAGTGTGCAGTTGTGTCAGTGCTCAGCACTAGCTTTGGCTTATCAACCACGGGGACATGGTGACAGCTCAGCCCTGGTGGTGCTACCTGGCTGCCTGGTGTCCCCTTCCCCACTTGAGGAAGGGAGTCAGATGCAGGTTAGTTTCTCTCTCCACTTATGGCCAGTGCACCCTCAGTGCTAGATGCCAGCAGCCTTGTGTCCATCACGGTCCAACCTCTCAACCCAAATACTCACCTTAGCCAGAATGTTTCCTCCCAGTATATCGCCTAGGTCCTCCCCTCCACAACTAAGAATCAAGCCCTCCCAACAGGAAATTGGTGATTGAGATAGAAGAATAGAGAGCTTTACCCATCCTGGACCTTCCTGATCTCTTGGTCCTCTGTCAGTGAGGAGGAAAATGAATAGCTTATCCGAGGACTCACCATAAGGCCAGTGACAGAGGTGGGGAGAGAGACCTGTCCCCCAGCCCCGCTCTGAAAGCCGCTCTTGCACACAGCCGTAGTGAATGTCTCACCTACCTATCAAGACCTCATGCAGAATGATGCCGCAGGTATCTTCACCATCAGTACAGGTTTTCATGGGGCCAGAGCAGCTTTTTCCTATGCTGTGACAAACCTCACACTGAAGGGAGGTCCCTGGGGAAAGAAGGAGGATGCATTCCTGGGTAATGGTTATGAGAGATCTCACTTCCCCTTTCCTTGATGTTTCACTTCAGCATTTGATCAGCACTTTTCACATTCCTCTTCCCTTATTTTCCATTTCATTGCTCAATTTGTGGGCTCTTTTTCATTATTTCTATTATTATTTATTCTAGTTTGAACTTGAATTTGGGCATATGAGGGAAAGACATTTGGGGATAGAATTTTACATTTTAACCACCAATACCCAGCCAGCTTCTCTTGTCTCCTATGCAATGAAGTCTGCTTGGTTTTCCTGGGGTTGCTGAGGAAAGCATCCCCACAAACCCCTCCATCCTGGCAGGTATTCAAGTGTCCCTGGATTTCTAGGCCCTGCATCCTCTCTTTGCAGTGAACAGGGGCACCCAAAGGTCTGGGGATCAAAAGGCTGCCAGCAGATGTTGACTGTGTTATGTATAAACTGGGGAATGGCATATCTCTTTGTAGGCATTAGGGGAAAGCACTTTACCAACTGCCTGCTGGAACATCTTAAGCAGACCAGAATATCAGGCAGTCAGCAGGAGACACTTGGAAAGGAATAAAGTGTTTATCAACAGACGACAAATAGCACATCTTCCCTGACACACACTCATGGAGACCCAAGAGTCCAGCATGTAGACTAGGAGGTCCAGGGCATGTGTCAGTTCCCTAAACCAAGGTGCCATCTAAGGCACCTTGCAGTGGCTGTGACATCTACATGGGGTGGCAGATATGACGCAAGACCTCTAAGACACCAGTGCTCTTCTAGGGTAGAACTGAAGGACAGCTGAGGTGACGTATAACGTCTAAAATGTCACACAACCCTGGGCATAAGCAAAACAAATGAGGCCCTAAGTTTGTGCTAAATGGTAGCTGGAGATCGATTCAACCGACCAAAGGTCTGTCTGCCTCAGAGTAACTTGAATCACCTCCATGACTATCTCGGCTATATCACCAGTGACCACCATGGCAGCTTAGACAGCCAATTTGCATTGTAAATGTCTACACCTTCATCTGCATGTTGGCCTATAGCAAAATTCCCTGAGACAGATCATCCATCTGAGGTGCAAAACTTCCCAGATGAGAGGTTCCTATGGCTTGGACAGCAAGAATGGCCCTATGTGCGGAGCACCCGTTCCCAGACCACTTCCATGTCTTGCAGCCCCACAAGTCCCAGCAGAAAACTCACCTGGGTCCAGGAAAGTCAGGAAGAAGATGAGGCCAAGGGACAATTTCATGGTGATGGGATGTAAGAGGAGAGAGCTGCCACGTCTTACTGAACACAGCACTGTGTGCCACAAGGGCTTTATAAACTGGAAAGAAACAGGGTGTTTTGGGGAAGTGGTGGTTGCGGAAGTGCTCTGAATAATATAGATACTACAGAGCAGTAGCGCCAGGGTTACTTTTTTCATTTAAAGCACAAGTTCCACCTTTTCCTCCGCATGAGTAATGCTGTTTGTCTTTCCCCCGTCTAGAGTATGCAGCCTGTGGGGAAAGACTGGCTTCCCTGGGGTCTACCAGGTATGTCTCTGGTGCAGACTTTGTTTGAACAACATTCAGCCTCTGCCATACATATGAATGACGGAGAAGAAACCATTTGAACAGCCCTGTTGTGCTCTCACCATTAGGTCCAAAGAAGCAAAGTGTAGCAAGGGCCAGCTGGGAATTTTCCTCGTGGCTGACTTTTTGCTGGCTGGTTTCACATCTCCCATCCTATCAGACAGTCAGGAACTCTCATGCCCCGAGTTCAGCAGCAAAGCAGACGATGGCAAAACAGTGAGCTTCCTTTCCGAGCTGGTGTGCAGCTTCTGTTTGCAAAAGGACTGCCAGTGCGCACCTTGGAGCAGGCTCAGTCAAGGGTTCCTGGGGCTGAATATGTCAGAGTTGCAAAGCGGGTGCTCCAGGGTGTGGGTTTAGATATAAAACTCTTGGAAGTTGATAAGAAAGTCTTCTATTATACCTCAGGGCTTTAAATTAAACCAGCCAGCAAGGAGAAAGCATCGATGTCACTATGAGACAGCCTGGTCACAGCTTAGGTAATGTTATAGCAGGTTTTCCATGCCCTGACATCTCATGATGAGCTAACACCAAGCAGCAGTGACCAACTTGCCATCGGCCCAAAGGTTCCCTGCCTCATGTGCAGGTTTTATCAGGATATGCTGCCTCACTGAAACTGTTCCCTACCCTGAAGATATCCTCTATACTCCTGTCCTGCTCCAGAATGGAGACAGCCAGTTAGTTCATGGTCCTCTGGGACTTTTTGCTCTGACAGTAAGAAAGAACTGAAATGGCCTTGTGTCCCCTCTCAACTGCAGCATCAGCTCCTTGGGTGAGAAATTGCTCCGGGCAGGCTTTTTGCAGTGTAGCACAGTAGGAGTGCTGGGCTCATCTGGCCCCCAGACACAAGGGCAACCCAAACAACAAGTCCTCCGCAGCAGAGGTATGCAGACCGCAAATATGGAGGGGTAATGAATCACAAACACAAGGTGCAAGGACCTTCCAGGGCTCACCCAGTCCAACCCACTGCCCAGGGCAGCTCTAGCCCAGGACAAGGGCTGCCTGTGGGGACGTGTCATGTAGCAGGGAAATCCAGTCTGCTGGGGAGGGAGTTTCACTTTGAGCCTGGCAGGGCTAGGTGTTTGGTGAAAAGCAGAGAGGGTTTCACTGCTGAGGTTTCCTACGGATGTGCAAATGAGCTAAGTGCCATTCCTGACTCTACCAAAGACTTCCATAGAGAAAATTCATAGAGAAAAATCACAGATCTCGCTGATGTTTCCACTCACTCTTTTGCTTTGATTTTCTATTTCTCTCTCCCACCTTACTATCTGCTTTTCCCATTTGGGACTAACCTTTTCAAAAGAGAACTGGTCTTTTGACACTTCCAAATATATTGAGTAGTTCAGTGGGACCTCTTCTAAGCTAAGCCCCCAGCACTATGAGAATGGGGATTAGTGCAATCACACTGGATAAAGCCTAGGTCCCCCAACATCCATTAATCTGGTATCACAAGAAGACAAAGGAGAAGGGTATCATCACCTTGAATTTCTTTTTCAGCTCAGAAATAGTCTCATGCCACAGTAGATGCGTTATAATGAAGTCAAACTCCTGACTGCAGCCAGTCCAGGATTAAAATTTGTTACTTGTTGGTCTTAAACCTCAGACTGAATAAAGCCCTGTCTCCAGGCAGGCTGGGGTACTTAGATCAAGGTGAGCCTGCCATTTAACTACATATGGTTCTGCAGATGCAGAGATGGGTGGATGTGACTGTCTCTGGTGATTTTAATTTCATGCCCTTTCATTTAAGACAATTATTGAAGTGCCTGGAGCATTTTCCCTGAATGACATGACTGCACTAGCCCCACTGAATTATGTTGAACTCACCTGTTTCCCACATATAATCTCGCACCACAATCTGCAGCAATAAGAGACCTGGAAAATAAGACTTATGAGACAAGCTGAAAAGAATAAAGGTTCTCAGAGGACACTCAGTCATATATCTGCAAAACCAAGGGCTGTATAGGAAAAACTATCACAGAAGACTTGCATTAGACATTGGGGTAATTTTCTAACAGTGACAACAGTGAAGCTGATTGCCTAGGAAGGTGTGGATCCTCCATCCTGGGTGGCTTAGAAAAACAGGCTAGACAACTACTTATTAGAGAATTATTTAGGTTGATAGGATCCTGCTCCAGGGCTCAGAGATGGGTTAGATGCTCTCTCTTAAGATCCTTTCTAAAACGGTTTCTATACTTTCATTTCATGGTGTGCATCAAGCACCTGTCTTCTGCAGCGTATCCGTGTTTCTGGAAGCAGAGGAGGATGATAATATGATAGTGACACTCTACGGGGAGGTTAGGCAGAGGCTGGGGAGGTCATAGAAATTTATGAGGCAAGAAAAGTTAGAAATCCAAACCTGAAAATAGCGTTGGCAGGAAGGTGAGAAGAAGAGGATATCTTCAAAAGAAAGATGTTCAGCAGAAGAAAGATGCCCATCTAGGCTAGAACACGGACAAAAATCATATATGAATTTTCATGCAGGTTCCTGTCAGAAAATACTAATGGGTTTCATAGAAAAGACCTTTAGGATCGTCAAGTCCAACCATTAATCTAACACTACCAAGTCCACCACTAAACCTCTTTCCTAAGTGTCACATCTACACGTTTTTTAAACACTTCCAGGGATGGTGACTCAACCACTTCCCTGGGCAGCCTGTTTCAAAGCTTGACAACCCTTATGGTAAAGAAATTTTTTCTAATATCCAAACTAGACCTCCCCTGACATAACTTGAGGCTGTTTCCTCTTGTCCTAAGAGCCTGAACATAAAGATGTGTCATCAAAGCAGGAAGCTAATGAATAAGGTTTATATCACACCTGAAGAACCCAGGTCAGAAAGCTCTGGAAAAAGTAAGAAAAGTGGGAAAGGTGTGACAAAGAAAGCACAACATAGAAAGGGCTGGGGGGTGCACAGCTTGTGTAGGAGATGCTGGGGAAAATCTGTATACAGACCTAACTGGGGTTGAAGTGCAAGGAGATGATCAAGGGAGAATGACAATGATGGCTTTAAGAATAAGTGGGATCAGAGTTAAGGATAAACCCTCTGATGATGAGATCAGCTGAGGATGGAATAAGTACCCCATTCCTGTGGTGAAACACTCGAGAATGGGCCAGAAGGACAGGGTGTGCCTGGGTTGAGGACAAAACTGACACAGCCCCAGGACCAGGCAAGAGCACTGCTGCTGCCAGCCCTCATCGCCTGCAGTTACTGCAGCCCCGAGGGATGGCACCACCATGATGAAGGCTCTCCTTCCAGCAGTCAGGAAGCCAGCAAAGCACTTTCTGCAAAGGTGAACAAAAACAAGAACCCAGGCAGTGGCCTTTGCAATGCAACTACTCAGCTCAGAGGCACAGCTCACATTCACAATCTAAATCCAACTGATTTGTCACTAAACGCCTTGTTCGTGTATATCCTGGTCTGTAGATACCCTTTGAGGAACTAGCCGTATTTATTTGAAATTCACTGGGGTCACTAATTCTGTGAAACCATAGCTGACTCAGGAAACCCCAACACTGAAGCAGGTGAGGTTGGCAGAGTAGTACAGAGACAGGAATATCCTGGATGTTTGCTCTGTTCTTCTTCTTCCTCAGGACTCTGCCTACATCCACTGGTTTTTGGGTTGTGGTTTTTTTTTCCCCCAGGCTCCTTCCCGGAACAGACCATGGGTACTGCGCTCATACATGCAGTCAGCTGGAGGGACTTGTATCTCTTGGGTAAGGGTCAGCCACCTACCAGCTGCAGCAGCAGCTCGATGGGATTGGGGTGGGTGGAGAGGAGCAGAGCAAACCCTATCATGCCTGCTGCCGCTGCTTGTAGCTGAGCGGAGAGGGGGAGCAGGTGAGGCTGAAATCAAAGCAGAGACCTGAGGAAGAATACAGTCGCGTGCATGCTCCAGGACGTGGGTGATATAGCCAGATGCATGTCACCATGTCAGGCTGAAGCCTTGTACACAGGGTCCTTGCATGACCTGGGTGCTCACCTGAGTCCAGAGGGTCACCCAGGCTCTGGTGGCAGCCACAGCAGTACTGTACCCCACTGTCCCCACATTATCAAGACACAGCTCCAGAACCAGGCTGGAGGGGCCATCATGCCGATAATAGCCATTTTTAACCACAGTGTGCCTCTTTTTCTTCTTCCATTAGAGGACAGTCCTGATTCTTAAGCCTCACTAGACTAACATTTGAGCTACCTAACATGCAGCCTGTAGCTGCAGGACCCTGTACACCCCCAACAGCTCTAACACCGCCAGTAAGACAGAACAAGTCTAACAGTGTCCCAAAAGCCCAGGCACAGCTTCTGTGGGAACAACACAGCAAAAGTATCTTCCTTTACCCACAATGGAAGGGGACTGAGCCACAACATGTTGGGACACTTCATGAAAAAGCTGTGGAAGAAGAATCAAACCCACTCATTTTCTAAGCTGATTCTTTGTTCTCCAGAACAGAGATTGGCAAAACCTGTCAATCTGGCTAACCAGGCTGTGGCGTATTGATGCATGGACTCCAAATGCGGATTGAAGACTCTTTATTACAATCAACCAAACTTTTTATATCTCTACAGCGGGCTGACGTGTCAGCCTGTGACTGAGCTTCAGTGATTTTCCATTACAGCATTTTTTAACTATTACAGACACAGCAACTTTAGCAACTTTCTTATCTACAAGGCCAAAGACTAAACTTTTT